GCACATTTGGTGAATTTATTGGAGGTTTTATTCTGGCTGCGAAAAATCTCTGATTTCTGGTTGTATGAGTTTCCTAATTGGACTCTTAAATTATTCAACTGCTCAGACACACTTGGTGCAAGCAGGAAATAATTATAAGTAACAATAACAATGTTATCCTTTTAACCGGTATTTCTTCCTTTTTTTTCTTTTAGGAATTCATTTCATATCCTATGTTACTTCCAAAAAGTTTCCTCTGCTATTTTTAAAATGTGATTTGACGTTTCTGAGGAAGAAACCTCCTCTCCAGTGGATTTAAAACTTAGGTTTCTATTAGATTATTTAATCCTAAGAATGCCAAAATAAATGTTCCCATCACCTGTAAAAGTTAGTCTTTATATGATTTAGTGTCAAAGATGATTTCATATAATGAGGTACAAAGAGTTAGTTACTGTCTCATAGCCTCCCGATCCTCAAGTTCTTGTTCTAAATGTCAAATTTTCACTAATGGGGAAGCCAGAGCAAAAATATCAAGTTATGAGAGAAAATACTATATAAATTTATTTGCCATCTAAATGATTTGATGTAATTTTTACTGTTTTATGTCTCCCTACTGTATTAATTTCACTGTACTATGTACATTTTTTTCAATTTCTTTTCTGAATATGAGATAAACTGGTGGTCTATGTTGAAAGGAGAAAAGCAAGCATTGAAAAATCAAGATATGTAAAAAATGTCTTGGGCCCTACCCAGTTTGGCTCAGTGGACAGATCATCTGCCCGCAGAATGAAGGCTCTCGAGTTTGATTTCTGTCAAGGGTACATACCTCAGTTGCAGGTTCGATCCCTGGCCCTGGTTAGGGCGGGTGTGGGAGGCAACCAATGGATGTGTCTTTCTCACACTGATTTTCTCTCTCTCTGTCTCTCCCCCCTTCCACTCTCTCTAAAAATCAATAAAAAATATCCTCAAAGTAAATAAATAAATAAACAAATAAGTAAATAAATGTACTGTTTCTCATGTCTTAATGTCACCTTCATTGAGACATAAAATCTTAGGGCGATGTTTTATTTAAAAAATGTCTTGGGGCTAGGCAACACCATGACTGAGGCCTAGAGAATTTCTTAATTAATTTGTCGTTTCCTTTTGCTTTTGTGTGAACAGTGTCAGGAAAGAGAACTTTGATAGCACCATGTCTCGCACCCAGAACACTGTATCCCCTCATCCTTTGTTCCTGGAATACACTTGGGTGATAGGAAGAGAGGAATAGCATGAAGCCATGTTTCAAGAAAAAGTAGGTTATCTCACTGCTCTTAAAGGCAGGGGTCCTCAGACTACGGCCCGCGGGCCACATGCAAATACAAATATTGTATTTGTTCCCGTTTTGTTTTTTTACTTCAAAATAAGATATGTGCAGTGTGCATAGGAATTTGTTCATAGCTTTTTTTTAAACCATAGTCCGGCCCTCCAACGGTCTGAGGGACAGTGAACTGGCCCCCTGTTTAAAAAGGTTGAGGACCCCTGCTTAAAGGTAACATTCACCTATCACTGCAAAGGAATTTTCAGAATTTACATCTATTAACCTATAGAGTATAAATGGCTTTATGTTCCTTAGGTTATTGATTTTTAGAGGGAGAGGAAGAGACAGGGATAGAGAGAGAGAGAGAGAAACATCAGTGATGAGAACCATCCATCTGCTGCCTCCTGCATGCCCTCTATCGGAGATCGAGCCCGCAACCCCAGCATGTGCCCTGACTGGGACTCCAACCTGTGACCTCTTGGTTCATGGGTCTACCCTCAACTGCTGAGCCACACCAGCCAGGCGATGATTCTCATTTTATAAGGAAATGTGATGATATAGATTCATGAACAGGTGAGGGGCAGGACCGGATTTGCGCCGTGGTGATCTGGCTCTGCAGTCAGGGGTCTTGACCCCTGCTCTATACTCCTTAATTACTAGGGTCATATAATCATAAAAGGGCTAAGTAATGTATTTACATTTTTTTCAAAATAACTGTGGAGAGAAAAAGGCTTTAAAAATAGGAACTTTGAATCTTACGTTTTTATGGGATATCAGAAAAGCTAGTTATAAGTTTTGCCCATGAAAAATATATTTGCAAGCTTGTTTTAAAAATAATTTTCGGAGTTCAAATCTTATTCCAGAAGATCAATGTCTGCATGGTACATTGTGCATAATTTAATTTTCCCAGTTGAACATCTTGACACTCTATGAACCATGAATGCATGAAATAGGAATTCCAAATGTCTTCCACATGGTGAGAGGACTTTCCAGTACTTGTGCAGGAAGCTGAAGAGCAATTTGAAATTAAGCTATGCCTGTTCTTAGTGACTTTTATTATGTATGCCTAAGGTAGTAGCACTTTCTCTGAGTGGGACCCTGAGGTGATAGATGAGTCTGCTGTCTGTATTTAGGCACTTTGCTCATTTCCTGAGAGCTGTGTGGAAGGCATTTGGATGCTCATTAAATTTCCAACCATTGCCCGAGTGCAACAGGTGGCAAATCAAAGCTTCCCTGGTATGTCATGGCTGGTTTCCTCAATGTCTTGGAAATAACGGATGGCATTTGCATGCTCTCCGCAGCACCAGCAGATAAGAAGGAGATGAATAGCAACAGGAAGTATTTCCAAAGCATAAACAAACACACAAGTTTAGGGAGGTTATGACTAATGTTCTTGCTACCACACTTTCTAAATACATACATGGTGGTTTCATCTTTTAAATATTGTTATCTTTCAAACTATGAAATCATGAACTCTCCTGTGGCTAGCTACCTAATAAAAGCAGGTATATTCAAGAAATAATAACATCACAATTTAAGGGAGCTATATCATAAAGTTACAAACTTATAACTACATTTATGACTGTTCAATGAGTACTAATGACTATGATATGTTCTTAAATTGTCTCCTTTACAAAATTACTGATTTATACTAGGAACCTACTACATTATAAGGAAAGCATGTCACTCACATCCTGAACCAGAGTGAGAAGACAGGCTTATTCATCCAAAAATAGAATCTGTGATTTAAATAAACTTTTAGATAGTTACCCAACAGTCCGTGGTAATTATACAGAAAAGGTTTTTGTCACTGTAATCACTAGTCAACATTGGAAAAGGAAAGACAATTGTCAACTATATGATCTTGACAGAATTTGACTGGCAGTTGCCTATGACTCTAGGAATAAAAGCATTTACTGGGGGTGAAAAATCACCAATATCTTTCCCGATTTGAAAGAGTTCGAAACATTCAGATTAGTCCACAGATGACTAGAAAAATGACCTGGGGTATTTTAGGACATAAAATAACTAAAAGGTAATGATAATAAACATTAGTAACTGAAATTGTTTGTTTTAAAGAAAAAAGACTCAATACCGTCATCCTATATATGCTCTCTCTCAACAAGAAAGTACCTCATGCTCAGGAGAAGAAACAACTGTATTTCAAGGCAGCATGGAGGTCCCTGCTGTGGACCTGGTGTTGGCAGCCCTTCACCCTGCAGGCAAGCGCTGCAGGAAACACAGCCCAGGTCCTTCCAAAACGCTCCTTTTAAATGCCTTCCTCTTATTTATAATGCTACAAGGTTCTTTATAATTAATGCCGACTATGACTTTCTTCAGTTTGTTTTAAAAAAATCTATGACCTTCCAATCATTTTTAAAAAGCTCCTTTTTTAAATGTGAGAACTACTAAGGAACTGCCATAAATTAACTCTATAATATGAAATTACATATTCATTTATTAAGTTATTTTGGCTACATATTAAATGATAAGGAAATAATTTGGCTTTTTAGTAAACTATTGTCATAGAGTATACTTTTTCCATGGAAGAAACCAAGGATTAATAATACATTAAAAACACACATCTGAACTTCAATAAACTAATCTGAAACCATCAAACAAAAAGCAGAAGCAAAGTTTCTGAGTGCCAACCTAGAAGACATAGCTTTCATGTCTGTTAATTACACCAAATATACCCATAAAATATTATGTAAGATACCAGATGATGTCTGGGAGTTCAATAATTTAACTTATTTATTCTAAAATCTTATAATTTCATCTAACACACTTCAGATATAGCCTTCATAAAACAGTATACACAACCCTCACAGTGAAACTAGGAACATTAATTTTAGAATGGTCTAATACATACTGGAGATTAATTTAAAACTCTACAATGTGATAACAATAAAAATATATTTAAAAAGAAAAAAAAACCTCTATAAAGTGAGAAAAATGTAAGGAAAAATCTACTTGCATTGTGTTTCCCTATCAAACAGCTCTGGAATTTAAAAAAGAACTTTAAAATAAGAAGCTGATTTTAAGGGAGTACCTACAACTAAACAGTAGAACTTTTAAGCCTTCTCCGTTGCCATGTTGAAAATTTTTGAACAATTAAAAAATATTTCTTAACATTTTTAGATGGTTTAAAAATATGTAAATGATGTTTTAAACTAAGTTTTACACAATTATTTCAAAAGAGACATAAAACATTTATGGGAAAGTATGAGTCAAAGTAGTTTAGTAAAATGATTTGTACTTTTCAGTCAGAATTATTGACAGGAAGTGGAAGCACAAAACATTTTAGAGGGATTGTTATAATGAGCGAATCATAAAAACAGCTGCCTAAGTGTTAGATTTATGGGGATGTGAACACTATAATTCTGGTAAAAAAATCTGTTAAGATCTTAAGAATAAAGCTAAATGTGAAGGTAGACATTCTAGACTTTAAAGAACTCCTGATTTCAAACGAAGTGGCTTTTACATTTATTTAAGTTAGGGGCATATTAGGTTACATAACAGAAAATATAGTCCAGAGAGTGATGGAAAACTTTAAAAATACCTATGCTTAATTTTTAATTAAAAAAATTTAAGTGGTTGAGAGGTGAGTATTTAAAGAACAACACTATGTTTTCCGTTTTCATTCCCCTCCTATCTTTGTGCAATTTCTGTGACTCTCACACTTGCAGTTCTATGAAGCCAAGACTGTCAGTGCAGTATTTACCTTTATCCCCGGAAGTCCAGGAAGCCCAGGAAGCCCTGGTTCACCCTACACAGGAAAATCACACAACATTATAGAACAATATTCACTCAGTCACGGTCTCTGGAGAAAAGCATGGCAAATGTTCCTCGCCGAATGCTTGCCATCTGCATATACACTGTCTCCTTTCAAGAACTTGGTGAGATTATACAGCTCAGTCAACTCTTGATTCAGAATTGGTTGACCCCTTTGCAGATTTTCCTGCCAGTTCACTGCTCACTGGCATCTCTACCAGAAGGCAAGAAAGAGAAGTAAAAGGAGAACGAGCTCCCACGTTTTATTAATTCCTGGTAAATGGTTTGCTGGGGAGGCCGAAGCTCTGCTCAAGTGAGGATTATGCGTGCATCTGAATAACGCCTCCGAGCCCAGTGCTCTCTTACCTCAGATAATCAAGAGTTGGCTGTGTGAACAGATGGTTACATCAACACAATATACATTAAAAGTCGTGCTCACTTAAAAGTATAGTAAGATTTCTTTTCCATTCCTGAATGATGAGAAGATAAATGCATGGTTAATATTATACTTAACTCCAGCCCATATTTCTGACAATTGTTGAGTCTGGGTAACCCTGCCTAGCAATTTAGGGCTAATGGTACCATGCAGCTGTTCCTGAGTACAGGTCTGAGATTAAGTGGCAGATTTGGGGTGAGCATACTGGAGTCATGATTAACCTTCTCATTTTCACAGAATGGTCTACATTATTTTAAGTACAAAGTATAGTGACAAGAGGTTACATTGCTTAGAAAATCTCCTGAATTCCACTAAAGAAGCATAATGGAATTGCTGGAGAAAATGAAAGTCCATCTTGTGCTGGATTGAGGTGACTATTTGTGGAAAGTAAAGGGGTTACACATTTTCACAACGGTCAGTCATTGGGAAGATAACTATACTAAGAGACAGGAGTATCAAACTAATAAAGGGGTAGAGGAAGGTATTTCTTTTCATCTAAATGCTTTAACAACCTTCATTTCAAAGAAAATCTGCTAAGAACAATCAAACATTTCATTTTTTAATATTATTACCTTCAAATTATGAAGAGTCATAACTTGCTCTAGTATTATCACTAAATGACTTCATCTACTGTTGATTAAGCTGTATGGTTAGACATAGAAAGGACAATGACTTTCCTGACGGTTTAGGTCAAAGGTGCTTCAGGAATGAAAAGGAAAAGCTATTATGTATGAAATTACCAATGGAAGTTTGCATTGTGAACAAGAACACTAAGATGAGATTAAGCCAGAGAAGAAAGGATGATTACTAAGCATTTGCTATTTCATTCAAATAATACCTGTCCAAATAAATTATAATTCATACAGATACTACATTATATATTTGATTTTCTTTTTTCTTCCTCCTTTTCCCTTCAATAAATTAATTTAGGAAGATTTAGTAAAAAGTGCTGGTATCCATATTTTACTGAAGA